GGCGAACTCAGACAAGGGCGCCGATCAAGCCCCTCGCAACCTCTTGCCAACCAAGAGCTACTCCCGGCAAAACGGACTCCCAGCTAAAGCCTCGCCAACTGCGGGAGGCCGAGATAAAACCACCTTTCCTACTGACCTACGGACCTCGCGAACCCAACTAGAATTCCCCCGCCCACCGACAAGCAACAGAACCCACTATTCAGGTGCCTCTACTCACGGCCGAACCAACCCAACCACCCGCGCAGTGCCCGCGCGCTTCACTTACTTGCATGGATGCCGTTGGCCCGCAATGTCGATCTGCGCGTCGCCGTTGTTGTTGTCTTCTCATATATAAGAGACGGCGTTCTATTGTAGGCAAAACCAAAGATATAGGCAATCTAACATCACTCGTCAAGCGATTTCGACCTCGACTTTTTCTAGTCTTTCTCGTCGTCTATTTTCTGTAATCCGTCTTAATAAAGCTTAGTTGGTACCTGTTGTCTGACTCTGCATTCTGTGCTGGAATGGCCAAAACTCGGACTGTCTCGTCCTGGTGTGATATCCGTGGTTGGCATAGGGCCCTCCGTACTTCTGTATTTGGCATTACTGACGCCCGATGTGCCAGTAACGCTGTGTTCTCTGATTTCCTTCCTTATTAAACTGGGTCCATATGTATTGTACATTGTTATTTTTGACGTCCCTATTCCCCAACAAACGACGTTCTGACTTGCGCTTCCTTGCACAGTTATCGGGCGATCTTGCGTTGTCTGAAGTTAGCGCCTTGTTCCCAGCTAATCTTTGTAACGAACTAGGGTATCCGTCCTTGTCCTCTGCCCAGCTCTGGGCTGAGAATTCCTGCGCCGCACTTGCCGTACCGCACTACAGGACGAGCACTTAATCAAGGGAGCGATGAAGTGTAAAGCGCATAGATTGCACAAAAAGTAAAAGCATTAGGAGGTGGAAAGAAACATATTGGCGTATTTCGTTGAGGGGTCGGCAAACGCCGCTGGTACAGCGGGTCCTTCCGTTGTACCCGTTGCAGAAGCTCTTCATCGCTGGTACGGTAGCCGTACGGCAGGGTGCAGAAATTTCCCCCAAAAGGCAGGTTTGCGCAGTTTTGAAGCTATAAACTTCATCATTAGGTTACCAAACCTTCCATTTTACAAGGAGGTAAACGCTAGCTTTGAGAGGTTCTCATAACGAACAGTCAATTGACGACCTTTCCTCGGCTTTTACCAAAAACATTTCCATACAGTTATTCGACCCTGGCACCAGTACCCGTGACAGTTATTCAGGGTTTGCCGACCTCCCGAAATTCGTTCTCCCTAACATATACGGCTGGTCTATCCTTTGACTTTGTGGTTGTTGGTCTCCCTTGTAATATCACTTTCTAACATATATACGGATTTACCATATGCCGAAAACATTTCGTGCTTGTTTCTTAGTCCAGCAGCGTGATGCGTGTCCGTGCATTCCGAATGAATACTCCAGACCGTACAAACAATTGGGCAAGTTATCTTGGATTTCGACAATACCTGTGCTTCGTTTCTCATTTGATCGTAGCAATGCGAAGTGCAATTTTATTTTTTAGTGCCTGGTCCCAGCCTGATCGTACGCGCGTTGCAGTACATCTTACCCTTGCCGATTCCCAGGGCAATGCAGGGGGCAATCCAATTGCTTGTGCTACGTGTTTGCACCTCGCTGAGTCACATGTCGTGGTGCTACAATATCGAGGCCGTTGAGCTCCGTATCGTAATCATTATGCAGTTTTTCGCTTAAGGCTTATAGCTTATGCAGGATTAAGAGTCATAGCATACTCATTTATGTTTATGAAGCATTACGGAAAAAAATGATACCGCCGGAACCGTCACCATCATCGCAGTCGCAAGAACAACCATCTCTGCTTTCGGTTTTAAAGGCGCTTCCAGCAGATTGCGTCCGGAATAACCTTGTTTCAGCTTTCGGAAGGTAAATTGTTATGCGCACGTGCAACTTTCCCTCTTTGCCGTTACAGTTTGACTTTTTTGGAAAACCGTGCCAGCACTATACGCGAGTTAATGAACTGAACGGTCTGGGTGGACTCTGGCAGCATCTTTTGGCGGACGTCTTTTCGGGTGGCTCCTTTCCGTCTGTAATGTCAATTTCCTTTCTTGCGCACAAAGCAACACCTGCAAGACGTTTCATACCCTTGCAAGTCAATATCCACAGCGGTGCCCAGGAACGTCATGGCCCGACCTTAGCTGTTGCCTGTCCTTCCTGTCACGGAGTTGGGCGTACATGGGTCCACCTCGCACCCGCCCACTTTCATTGCAGGCTCAGAGATATAGATAGCAGCCGGTCACGCCCACCCATTGGTGCCCATCAATGGCTGCCGGGTCAATGGACACCTGTCCTCTACGGTCTCTCCCATGGATGGCGCACCTACGCACGTTGCGTCCTCACTCGGAGTCTCACCGTCGACCTAGCCATCGCAGTCTCGCTCCAACGCACACAAAACCCATCTGAATCCCTCGAGGCCTTCCTCAGCGGCTTCCCCAGCCTCCAACATCTCACCGTTCTCGCCGGCAATGGTGGCGCACCCGTTGACGATTCCGTCAGGCCGCCGCCCACTGCATCTGGCTATGGCAATGGCAGCAGCACGTTGCTCGCCATGGCAGAGGCGGTCAACGTGGCCCTCGCCACGCAGCAGCTCCTCCATCTTAGTCGCTCCGAAACCACCGCAGCAAACCCAGATCAGGGGATGGCCCGACTGACTTCCCTGGAGCTGCGGCTCCACCCTGCTGTCTGGCGGGCGCTGCGCGGCTTTGACCCAGATGAGTTTTTGGCTCGTTTGGTGGCGGCGCACCCCTCCCTGGAGAGCCTGACGGTTAACGTAGCTGCACCGCCGATGCCGCCGCCGTCACTGGCGGTGTCGCCGGCACCGGTGGAGGCGGAGGCAGGGAGCATGGGCCACGACGCCGGGCCGTTGGCAGTGGTGGGCGTTGGCGCGCTGGCGACATTACCGGGGCTGACGCGGCTGCGTTTTGTGGGCCCTATAGCGTTGGAGGGCTTGGCAGCGTTGGTACATCTGCAGGTGAGAGAAGCTTCATTTAGGCGGGAAGAGTACAAAAGGAGGGGGGACGGAAGGGAGGAGGCAAGGCAGGCGTTTGGGTCTGATGGCTGGTTAGTTTTTTTGGCGAGTTAGGGGGAGGAGGAATAGAAAACGCCAGGGATGGGAGAGAAGAGGGACCACCTCCTCAGCGGTGTCTTGGGAGTCAATAAGGAAAAGGAAAGCGCACCCGCCATCCTTACCATCATCCCCTCAGCTGCGGATTCTTTGACTTCTTCTTTTCTTCATATAATTCCCTCCCACTCTCTCTTTGCCTATGTTTTCCCACTTCCTCCTCCGCCTCCTCCTCCTCCTCACTGTCGTCGCCGTCCTCCTCACAGGCGCTGTCCATAGAGGGCGTAATCCCCACGGCTCATGACGCCCTGCCGGCCCTTACCGCACTGACCTGCCTGCGGCTTTCGGACAGCCACCTGCGGCCCCTCCCATCCAATCCACCGCAAACAGCCCGCACGCCGGGCCCGGCTGCCGTCGTACTGTCGCCGTACATGAACCTCAGCCGTATGTTTCGCTCTCTGCGCGCACTGCACCTACCCCAAGTCGCCGTGGGTCCCTCGGAGTGGCATCTGTTGGCGGCGCTGTGTCCCACACTTTGCGAACTTGAGCTCGCGAACTTGACACCACGGATTGCCGGCGGCGGCGCTGCAGCTGCGGCGGCCGTGGCGGCCGTGCCGCGGCTAACGTCCGCCGCCGCCGCGGCGGCGGCAGCCGCCGCGGGAGCCACGCCTGTTCCGGATTGGTTCCTCCGCGCCACTGTCGGCGATGAAGTGGCATACAGCACCGGTACCGGCATTACGACGTCGGTCGGGAGCGGAAGCGGCGGCGTCACGAAATGGCAGCGGAGCGGCAGCAGCTTGCCGACGGCCGGCAGCGCACCGCGGCCCGGTCTCGGTGGCAGTAGCGGTGAACATGGCAGCAGGATTTCCCCTAAGGGCTCTGGCATCGGCGCCGCCAGCCGCTGCCCCTTTGCAGCTTTGACGGTCAGTGGCGGCAGCGGCGGCGCCGCCAATGCCGCCAAGCGCATGGAGGACTGCAGTAACGGCAGCGGCTGTAGCTCCGCCCCGCTGATCGGTGTACGGCAGTTGACTCTGTGGGAGTACATGGCGCCGTTGCAGTTGGTTGATGTGTTGCAACTGATACCGGATTTGCGGGAACTGCGGGTAGGTGTGTGTGTGTGTGTAATGTGGGTCGTTGTTGTCTAGTATGTACCTCCCATCATTTGTTCATTGTTCATCGTCACCAGCATCACTACCTCCCACCACAAAACCATGTGCTATTACGTCACCAATCACACTAATCATCACTCACACCGCCACTTGCCCTCTTACCCACTACTTATGTCAACCCATTGCCACCTGCCGCCAGTCATCAGCTATCCGTTATTAGTTATTATCAGTTACATCACCTGCTACCACAGTAACGGTCACAACCAACATAACCGCAGGGATCCCTTCTGCTAGACGATCCCCCGGACGTCCCCGCCGCCGGCCTACGTCCCGCCGCCGTCGCGGCGCTGCGGCCCCTAGCAGCCGCCCTCCGAACCATCCACGATGTTCGTCTGTCTGTCAGCTGTGACCCGGCAGCCGTTACGGGGCAACTGGCCGGGCTGTTCCTGATGGAAAGCGGGTTGGCTGACGTGGCAGGTATCCAGGGGCTGTCGTTAACAGTTTGGGTGGCGGCGGAGAAGCAGTTGGGTTCGTTGGCGGCGTTGCTACAGCTACGGAGTTTGGAGCTCACGTTGGGGAAACAGGAGCAGGTGAGCGCGCCCGTGGGGTAGGGGGGTAGGGATAAGGAGGGGGGATAAGCAGGCGTGGCCAGCGCAATCGCGAGCAGCTCGGTAGAAGGGAGGGAAGGGGTCGGCGGGAAGGCGAACTTGGGCATGAGTATTAGAAGTGCAGAAGGGGGCGCCGGCATGTGGCGTTTTTTGTGATACCGGAGGAAGAGGAGGGGGAGGGGAAGAGGAAGTAAGGGTTGGATTTTGGAGCCTTTTGGAGGAAGGGGCCTTCTGGGGAGGAAGGGGGACTCCAGAGGATCATCCTCCAGGGTTGGGCCGGTGGGTAGCTGGGTTGGGCAGTACTCATGTGCACATCCGTCGCGGGGATAGTGTGTGGGAGCGAGAGCGCTGGGCTGGGGCTAGGGAGGGCTAGGGTTTTAGGTACACCTCCACACACAGAACTCCTACATAATCACACACACGTAGACATACATACCGAGTTCTTGAAATACACTTGCACCCACACGCTCGCACCCATCCCCCCCTGCACATTACCTTTTCTTTGCAGGAGTCGGAGCTTTCTGTGCTTACTCGCCTGGAGCGTCTCTCCTACCTGTCCCTTCAAATCGTACCTGGGATCTGGAATGAGATTCAGGGCCGTACAGGCCGCGTCACTGCCGGCGCGGCGCTCCGCCTGGCCATGTCCTTTGCCGCTGGCCAAGTCCTGCTTCTGGTGGCTGACGTGCACCGAGAGATTTGCGAGGACGAGGCAATCTCACTGCTGAAGTCCGTGGAGATGACGACAGGTCAGCCAGGGGCAGCTTGGGCGGTGTCGGCGTGGGTGGAGGACACGGCAGAATGCATTATGGGGTTAGGGCCCAGTGCCGGCGCCTCGGGAACACTGGGGGGTGGGGGAGGAGGGGCTGCAGGAGGAGGGGGAGGAGGAGGTGACGGGGTGGGTGTTTTGCGTGTCGTGTGGACGCCGGAGCTGGTTCGTCGTTTGTTGGGAGTTGTAGCGGCGGTAGAGGGCCGCGGCGGCCCTGGGGGGTGCGGGGCTGCGACGGTAAACTTCATGGGTTCTGAGGAGCAGAGGCTGGGCCGCGTGTTGGGTAGTTGAGAAACCGGAGGTGATGGAAAGGGAGGGAAGAGGGCGTTTGGGGGCTGCCTGGAAGGGGGTTTAGGTAGGAGGGTAGGGGGTATGACGCATGGAGAAGGAAAAAATGAATCCTAGGCGCCGGCCGTCAGTAAGGAGTGGGTGATCAGCAAGGAGAGGAGATTAAAGGAGGGGCCGAGCAGGGCGGCGCCCTGAGACCCCGGCAGAGCTCTCTGAAATGGGTACTGGCTGAGCGATAGAACTTATCTGCATGCATGTCCTGCTCGTTGTGGTGTGTGGCTCGGTGACCCGTGGGACGGTGGGGTCCACGTTGAGAAGTCCGATCCGATCCCCCATTGAGATCGTTCCGAGCTGTGCATAATGGTGATCCCCCGGGGGCGTTGAAGCCCAGGTTGCTGTGTTGTAATGTGAGATAGGCGGTTGTCAGTTGGCCGTTGCGATGGTTGTTGTTGTGAGGGTCGTGAGGGAACATCTTTCCGACCACCCAATAAAGCAAAGCGAGCAGGAATTCTTTTTTTTGGGAGAAGGAGTTGATGCATTATTATTGACAACTGGGGATGGATGGCTGTAGTAGAAATGGATGTGAAAGCTGTGGTGGTGGCTTTCGTGGAGGGTTTTGGGTCTGAAGGCTTTTCACTGGCTAGTGTAGGCATTGCTACTACTGCTAATAATTACGACTTTGTGATTTGCGTTCGATTGTGGGTTCCTTTGCGACCAGCACCCATCTTGGAGGTGGTCAGGTTAGGCGTCAGAGCGTCGGCCTGGGGCTGTGGTGGGGGGTGTGATGGGGGTGGTAGTGGTAATAAGCGGTTTCATCGTTGTATTGCCGTTGTCCATCATTGTGTTGAGGGGGTGCCCACACTCGGTTGGCATGCAGGCAGGCGGCCGTACTTAGCCCCCCCCCGCCTTGCTTTCGTCAACATCGCCAACCATACCGCCGCAGCCGTGTATTCCCTCAACCTCAGTCTTTTTCATAGCGCACATCCACGCAGAGACACACACGCTCTTTGTTTCTGGCCCTTTCTCGCATCCTCTCGCTTTCGTTTCGCTCGCGCGCTGGAACTGCTTTCTCTTCCATATTCTCACAAAAGGTCATCAGATGTACGTGCGTGATGTACTGCCTCTTAAACTGCATGTACGCACGGCGAAAAGACAAAGACCACGAAGACGATGAAGACTGTGGCGGTGGTTTGCGGCAAATCACGAAAATATGAAGCCCTAGACAGCATCGCCAAGCATCCAAACACGTGCCTTCTCTTTACACACAAGCTTGAAAGCTTATGTGTGCGTGCGTGTCTGTGTGTGTGTGTGCGTGTGCACGAAGAACCCTATGTGCGCGTGTAAATGGATGCGCGTGCTTGAAGTACTGCGCATATGGGCGGTGAGACTGGCGGGAAACGTTTGCGGAGCTGTTCGTTACTCAGCTGTCACGCGATGATAGTTAGCTACGTGCGGGTTCAACAATGTTTGCATGTGAATTGGACGTCTGGCTCCAACCGCAACCCTGCAGTGCAAAAAACCTTTTATGTTTCCATTTCCTTCTTCCTGAAATACGGAGTGGAGGGAAAGGAAGGATTGCTTTTGAGTTTTGCGAGCCGCCCTGCTTGTTTTCCTCTTTCTCACTGCTGCATCAAATACCTAGGGGGTGGTTAATGTACTAGCGACTGCCTGACTTCTCCCCTAGCCCAAGCCCCCGCCTTCAGGGTAACGGTTTGCCCTGTTTGTAGAACTGAGCTCAGTTCTAAAAGCACGACGTACACGTCCATGCGTGTATGTAGGGGGAAGGGTTGAGCATGTTGTGTGTCTGTATTTAATTGCTGTTTGTGTGGAATCATTTGGTTTAGGCAGTTCATTGCGTGTTGGGTGTTTGTGTGCGCGGCTGTGTATCATAACCCCCCGTCGCTTGTGTCAAAATGAACGAACGGCATGCGTATGTATGTGTGCGTATGTGCCAGTGTGTGCGTGTATGCGTATGTGCGTTGTACCTTGTACGTCTCTCATTTCACAATTCTTGTGCATCCATGTGGGAAATCCCTTCGGAAAGCACTGTGACAATTGCTGAGTGGGATTGGACGCTGTTGCGCATTCACCTGCGCGTATGCACGCAGGTTTTGCTGTTGATACACAGCGACTGCCCAGAGAAGGAGAGCCCCACCGCCACATGCACGTGCGTGTGCGCGCAGCGCGCGTGTGCGTGTTTGTCTGCGTGTTTGTGTTTTCTGTTTTGTGTGGCTTTGCGCCTGCCTGTTGGCTGTGCACCTTTTTGTATGTGCCGTGAGATGCGGTTGCATTCCCCTCTTTCTGTGTGAGGAAACCATCCCATATGCCCACGCCGATGCTCAAACTGAAAAGGCAAGCCGCCTTGTGTCGTCTCTTTTTTGTAAAGCATGCGCATATCAGCAATTGTTACTGTTCGCGTCGGCAGCTATGCTCGCGTATGTGTGTGTGTTGTAGCAAGACGAGTTTGTGGCTTTTTGCGTTTGGGCCTTTTGCTGGGAGCGCGTGTTGTGCGTGGCCGTATGCTTCTTGCAAGTGTTTGAACGGCAAGAGCAGGACAAAGGGAACACCTCCATGCGTGCTTGAACCGGAGTCGCCCAGTGTGCGACTGTGTCGAGTTGGCATAACGAATAATAATAATAATAATAATAATAATATACCTTCAGCGGGTATGAGAGCGCCTGATAAGGCAGGTGTAACAGCGTTTCGGTTTGCAGTACGGGCGGGACGAGAAAGCTATAGGGGCCAGCTGTCGGAGCGCTGCATCAACAACACAGTATATATGGCTCATTTTCTCTCTTATTGCTTGCAAGGCGCACGGCTGGCTTGGTTTTGGATGCAGCAGGAACAGCAGCGGGGGGAAATATACGAGAATATGACGACGGCGAAGTGCCTGCTGCAGGGACGGAGAGAATATGTTTCTGGGGTTGGGTTGGAGCTCCGGGAGGTTGGGCCCAAGTGAGGCGAACGGTGGCAGTGTGATTATTCTCCTCCTCCCCAGAAGTGGGGCCCCTGCGACCTGTGAGGATGAGGACGAGGAGGTTAGAGCGGTGCGAACGGTCATCGGGGTGGCTTTGCGGCGGCGGTGGCGGCGGAGCTCTCTCCAGGGACGCAGGGAGGCATCTTGGTGCTGAGGCGCCAATGGTGGATGGCGTGAAGCAGTTGGTGGGTGGCTGCTGGGTGTGGGATGCGGTGTTCGGTGGTGGTGTGGATGGTGGTGGTGGCTTTGGCTTTTAAACGAACTATTTTCCCTATTGGTTTTATTTCAAAACCCGTATGGGGTTTGGGGCCGTACGTGTGCCCGCATTGGGAAATTATACGAATAAAGCTGTAACTTGCTGTGGAGTTTTGGGGTTCTTATTGTTATGTCGCAATTGGAATAAAGTACGACGCAACATGGACCGCTCTCCTTTGAAAACGGAGCGAAGCACAGCTGACGTATTAACCTGTATCTTTCTGACTGTGTTTTTATGCCCTGCATGGCGATGTACGGCATGTGGTGTTCCCGCGCCGGGCTTCCTTCGACTGGGTTCTGTTTGCGAAGAGGGGGCGTACGTGTGGGCGAGCGGGCGTCGGGATCAACAGCTGGAGTAAGAAGGCAGGGAGTAAAATGGGGGAATAATAAAAATGAGCGTTTTTATGGGTTTTACTTTGCGGTCATGTGTGAGGTAGCGCGACGGCAGCTGAGCTAGCGCTAAGGCCTACAACATGGCAAATAACGGAAATGGCGCTGGCTGATGTTTTAGTTTCCTGAGTAAGGAATGTGAGATTTACTGTGGCCTCAATCCAGCTCAATCCTTCCGTGCAGAAAGGAACCCAGGTTCAGGTGTTTGACAGGCCCACGCTATTCCCATCATAAACGGCATGTAAAATTTGGTGCAAAGATGTGTCTCAAGGGCGTCGGTGTGAAAATTTTTCATAAATACAATGCCTCCAGCTGCCGGTCACTTGCACGTTCATGGAGTACAGCTGCATCTGTGCCATTGTACCTTAACAGCTAATAAAGCTGTCGAAAGGAGCGAAAACGTGGCATTGGTATTACGCCTAGCGGCAGAGGGAGACAGGAACGAGGAAATAGGGCAGTTTGCCATCTACGGCAACGAGAACGGTTAAGGTTGGTTAGGAGCGCGGGACCCGCTGACCACTCTGCTGTGTGTAGATCAACAACTTTGCCAAAGTAGAACACAATAACGCCGCTACTTGAAAGTTGTAGCTCTATTTGCGTTATTGTTAGAGGCATGTCCTCTCAACCGTGCAGTTCTCATGACTACAAACTGGACCCTATTCGCATGCATAAGTAATTAATTATGGATGTTTTGAAAGCTTACATTATTTAGATCGTACCATGAGGAGGGCAGTAAAGGTCCTTGCCATAGCGACAGCGATCGCATACCTGTGTTGTGCGCCGCTCCTTAGCTCGGCCGCAGATCAATCATCGTAAGAGTAATTTCTGGAGTTTGCAGAAGACTACATCCCAACACTGAAAAACTGCGACCCTCTGTTGTGCGCAGCGAGGCCGCAACGCCAAAGCGAAGGGGCCTGAATCTCTTCCATGCCGTAAGTTTCATACAGATACTTGTGTAGGCTTGCCGCGTGCGAGATTGGATAAACATCCTTGTATTGCGTGTTGGTCAGGGCGACGATTCATTGTCGTGGGACAACTTGGAGCTTACGCGCGTGCGTAACCTGGCTGAAAAATCACTCACCAGCGCGGAGGTGCGAATTATGGGATCTATGCAGTTCTGGGAGCTGCCGTATGATCACATTGCAACCGCCTGCGTCCCAGCTTGAGCTGACCATCAGCGCTATACGCCTCACAGGAGTTTCTTGGATCCGCTAATCTAGCGGAATACCTGGGCTTGTTTCCTGTGGACTCCTTACACCTGCCTATACCCCTAAACGTCGTGCTTGTGGGGTTCCACGGGGACGGTAACGCGGGCGTAAACATCACAACATGGGAGCTCAACGACTGGTTCTCACACCTCGATCACGTGCTGCCACACACCCGGATAGACCGCTCGGAGCTCACCTGCGAGGAAGACGGTGCGTGGAGCGGCCCTGTGAAATTCGGGTTCGGGTCAGGGCCCAGCCTCTGGCCGCCGCAGCGGCCGCACTCCCACGCTGCCGCCACCGCACCGGAACCGCATTGGGGGGAATAGGCGTCCATTCCACCAAAGGCCGATGGGCCATTCAGATGACCGCCATGGGACTGCGGACAACAGGACTTTGAAAAATGGTGATCTAGGTAACCGAACAAGCCTTACGGCGCCATTATTCCCGGCCTGGATACCCCTTGCATGCAAAAGAGCAGCACCGGTATCAACACCAGCAGCAAATCGCCACCTTGGGCCTGGCCCTCCTCTAAATACACGTGGCCGCCTCAGTCAACTTCTCGGACCATTACTATGCTACATGCTTGATGTGGGTTTTTCCATGTGGGTTTTCCCATCAAAAACAGGTCAGTGCGCCGGCCTGGTGCACGGCCGCTTCCACCCGACCCCCATGCCGTCCTATGTGCACCTCAACTTCACATGCAATGTGGTGCTCATTAAGCGGACGGACGTCGTGGACACGTTTGAACGAGCCATTTCGGTGTTCAGCCGCCCCGTGGATCCCGCAGTGACAACGGGCATGCAGCAGGTGTGCTGTTCGTGTTCGTGATCGTAGCCGGTTGCGGAAGAAAGTTTTTTTCATTAAACCAAATCACTAATCAAGGATCACAATCGCTTATAAAGTGTGACAAGTATTTCGCAAATTAAGGATTTCCCCTTAAGGATTTCGATTGTATTAATCGAGTAGTAGTTTTGAACGTCCATCGTTCAAACGTCCACCACGTTCAAACGTCCACCAGCACCTCTTGCCGTCCCGTTGTATGGACTAGGTGGATGCGCACAAGATGGAGGTCCTCGTTGACCATTTTGTGACCGCGTTGGGCCTAGAAAACTCGTACAGCCTTGTCGTGCTCAACCCCAACTGGCACGCGGACGAGCCGGTGTACGGCTACCGACTGGGCATCAGCAGCCAGGAAATGCAGGCGGTCAAGGGCAACAACGACAGGCTGCGGCGCACCATGGTGCGTGGCTGGTAGCGGGTGTATGGATATGGGTACAGTTGGATGGATGTGGGTAGAAGGGGCTGTCGGAGTGGTCGACTAGGTGGGTGAGCGGTAATGGACGGGTGTGCGCGCGTGAATGGAGACCCGGATCTGGGAGCTCTCATTATCCCACGGAATGAGTGGACGGGGATGGAGGTGAGAAAGAGGGGAGCAAGTAGCAGCGTCCAAATCCACCCCTGAAGTGGCAGGTTTGCCGTGAGCGGTTGTGTTCCCTCTGTTCGTCGCGTCTTGCAGCGCTCACTGCTTGCCTCACTGCAGGCCGTCACGAAAAGCGAGCGTGTGCGCTGGGGGTAGGGGTAGGGGGGAAGGGTGGCTGGGTGGGTGGATTACGGGGGGGCTGAGCAACGAGCAACCATGAATGAAGTCCGACATGAAACATACATGTATCCTCAGAATGTACAGAAAAGCATGCAGGGCATTACTGGGATTACTGGGCTTTAATTCAGATGCGGAAATCCGGCCCAGGCAGTGGACACCGGAGTATGCAATTACTGGGGAATAGGTGCGGGGTGATGGGGCGGGGTAATGGGGCGGGGTGACCAGCTCAATCTCCCCTCCCGCCCTTTCGCCGCCCCGTCCTCTCCCCTGTGTATGCTTATCATGTGTTGTCCCTCTTGAGAATTGGGTTGGACGGGCTTTCTTCTCTTTACCGCACCATCACCACATTCCACCGTACCCTGTTTCTGCTGTTGATCCCTTTGCTTTCTGCCTGTGTGGTTCCCCTCCCAATGTGCCGCACTGCATTGCGCAGGCGGCCCACACTACGGCGGAACCCGCGCTGCCCTCTCGCTTCCGTGGCGGCTGGGGCGGCCACCATTACTCCTGGCCGCACGGTCGCGTGGTGGCTCCCAAGTTTTCTGAGGTGGACAGCACCGCGGAGAGGTGCGAGGCTGGGGCGTGTTTGTGTTTGTGTGCGAGGCTGGGGTGTGTGTGTGGTGTGGTGGGACTGACTGAGTGCGTAGTTGATTGAATGGAGCTGGTTCAATAAGAGATGAAAGACCCAGTAATTGGGGACAGGGTTTTGGGGCGGTGTGTGTGTCTGTGTTTGCACGGCTTTGACAAAGCTCGCTCACCATCCCTTCTCCAAAAACTTTTAGCCCTTTCTAAGGCCCTTGGCCATGTCTTGCTATGCTTTGATTCCTGCCTCTTTCTCATCCCCCATCTTAAGACTTTCATCAACCTTGGGGCAGTTCAACGCTTTGCAACTCTTGCTGCACAGATTTTCATGTAGGAGGCATTCCACCTCCTCCTCACCCCTCGCCCCACCTCCTCCTCACCCCTCGCCCCACCTCCTCCTCACCCCTCGCCCCACCTCCTCTTCTTCCTCCCGCGCAGCGAGCGCTGGGTGTCCGTGGTGGGCTCCTACCTGGGCGAGGAGGAGCATCTGAGGCGACGGCTGTTGGAGGCGGCGGGGGGGGAGCGCGGTGCTGGCGCGTTTGTGCACGTGGCCAGGCTGCTGAACAGGCCGGGCAGCACCATGGGGGCATTGCTGCGGAAGGAGCTGGTGGAGTCCTGGGCGGACGCGGCAGGTGAGGCTTCTTTCGGCGGTGAAAAGGGAGGTTTAAGAGCTGGGGTAGGAATTGTATGGTGATGCAAAATTTCGGAAGGAGACAGTTGCGGATATCACGAGCAAACCAATTGCCGGAGCTGGGTTGGACGCGGGAGCGCTTGGAAGTGGGGAGAATTCGGACAGAGGGTGGGTTTGGGTGTTTGTGTGGGGGAGAGAGAGGTAGGAGGGGGATTACGTGAGCGCGTTAAAGCTGGATGGGAAAATCTGGGGGAACCGGGGAGGCCAACCCATCGCAGCGCGTGTCGTGTCGTGTCGTGTCATGTGTGTTTCGTGGTCGCATTATCGTACGTCGTGTTACGGGAAAGGGGCGGCTTTCCGCTTACCCTCTACATTTTGAGACCGAGCTTTCCTTTTTCCTCTTCCCCTCCTTTTCCCTCTTCCCTCTTTTCCCCCGGCCCGACCTCCTCCAGCCCTTTGCTTCTTGCATCTTGTACATCCACCTTTTCCCAAACCCGAATGTCCCCCATCCCGTCCCCTACCCACCCCGGCTCCACTCCCCTCGCCAGAGGCCCTGCACAGCTCCTTCCACAGCGCCCACCCCGCGGAGGACTGCCTGGTGAACACCTGGGTGGGCTCCAGCGGCCGCTGGGTGCTGCTGGACCTCACAGCGGGCGGCAAGGACTGGGGACCCGCACTGGGCGGTGACGGGGTGGTGCACCACCAGACGCTGCCGCGGGTGCATGAGCTGTTTGGCGGCGTCAAGCGGCTCAAGAACCGTGAGTACCTGGTTGGGTGGGTGGCAGGGAAGGGGGATGGGAGATGGCTAGATAAGTGGGATAGGGGGAAGTTATGCCATGTTTGGAATTAGGGCAGGTGGAGAAGGAAGGGTGAAGGCGAGGGTAGTGGCGCTAGTGGGGGAGGGTCGGTTAGGGTCCTCCGGGGCGAGTGGCGGCCTTTGGGTTGGTGTCTCTCCTCCTCCTTCCCTGAGAGGAGGTGCAAGAGGGAGGAAAGGAAAGGCGGGGTAAGGGAACCACGTCTGTGTGACAGATAAAAGAAATCGATTCCCGACGTAGGAGGCTAGAAGGGTGGAGAGGAGGAGATGGCCGAACGGTATCAGAGCTAGCAGCTAACAGAACTCCGCCCCGACATCCATTCATCCATCCGCAAATGCATTGCGTTCACACACCCATAGCTCGATACTGCGGCTCCCTCTTTTTCCATAAGTCTTCCGTTCCCTACCCTTTGCTCGTTCTCCTTTCAGCTTGCACAGCTAACCACTCTTTGGTGGTTCGTCTTTCCCCTACCCTTTGCTTCTTGCATTTGCAACTCCTAACCCCGACCTCCTGCCCCTTCCAGAGGTTCGTGAGGACGCCCGCATCCACGGCACCGCGGAGCAGATGGTTTCGGACTCGCTGTCCCAGGCCAAGTCTGCCCGACTGCCCTCCGTAGCCAACCGCCACCACCACGCCTTCCTGCTCAAAGTGAGTGGCGGTTGTCTGTGTCAGGGTGTGGGGTGGCGGTACCACACCGGAGCGGGAAAGGCATAGAGAGAGCGCCAGCATAGCTTATTTATAACATGGCAATGTGCCTTTCCCCTCTTTCGTCTCCCACCTTCCTCCTGTCCTCCTGGGTCACTGCCCGTGGCCCCGGTCCCCAGTCCGAGCCCGTGCGGGGGGGATGCCACGGTGCACCGTGTTTCTCGCCCGCGTGTGATGGCAGAATTCCATTTGCCCCATGCGATGAGGGAATACCACACACTCCAAGCATTGCACCGGAATCCTGAGGCCGCTGAGCCACTGCTCCCTCTCCCTCTCCCTCACACCCTGCGTTGGACTCTTAATGGTTGCTGGTGCTTTTGTAACGTCATACGGCGAATGACTCTGTTTTTCTTGCACCACCATCAACATCATCATCATCAGCAGCAGCAGCAGCACCATCAGCATATGATTCCCGTGCTAACCACGGATGTCCTCTTGCTTGTAATTCCCACCCCTAACTTCCTCTCCCATCCACCCACTACTCCTACCTACCTACCCGCGCCCCCGTCTACCGACCCTAACCCCAACCGCACAGCGTCAGGCCGCCCGGCGTCAGGCCATGGAGCCCGGCTCCAAGCCGGTGGACCCCGCTGCCGAGGAGGAGGAGGAGCGCATGTGGCGGGCCCAGCACCAGATGGTGCTGCTGCAGGCAGAGCTGGACCTGCTGGAGGAGTGGGCCATGAGGTATTGCTACAACAACGTGAGTCTGGACTGGGGTCTTATTACCAGAGGAACTTTTACTACAAAGCTTGTTGTGTGATCAATTCTGCTTTGAGTTAGTGGGGTATTTGGGGGGAAGGAGGGTCGTGGATGATAACGTTGTGGGACGGATGGAGCTGAATGGAGCTGAGAACGTGAGCGCTCCAGCGCGGAAGAGTAGTTGTGTAAATACGCGGATGTTACAATTACTACTATTGTTGTTGTTACACTGTGCTTTATTGTCCGCATCGCATACAGGCGAACCCCCCGCTGGTGTGCGGGACCTGGAAGGAGGAGGCGCTGGAGCTGCGTGCGGGGCTGTCCAAGCTGCAGGCGTCCACCAGCGCTGCGGCGGTGTATGAGCTCTTCCGGGAGCACCGCTGGGACATATTTGGGGCCGAACAGGACCTGGGCGAGGTGAGGTGGGGGCGAGGTAGGGGCAGAAGGAAACGGTGTCGAGAAGAGGGAGACGGGTGAAATGGGATGGAGTGAGGGGAATTTTGGCGGCGCAGGTGCCGCTGGCGGCGGCGGTTGAAAGCATGGGAAAACGTGGTGAGGAGGGATTTGTACGACCCAGCGAAGCTCTGGAGATTGCGCCTACTCCCCGCCAGCGCCCCTTTACTTGCATGCATGCATCCTTGCTGTGTTCTTCGTCCTATCCCGCACCACACACCGCACAACACACCAACTCTCACTTCCCTCCACGCAATTGGAAACGCACGCACACGCACACGCACGCGCGCAAACACGCATCTTGTACAGCTTCACCCAGAGCTGTGGGACGAGGAGGAAATCTCCAAGGACATGTTGCTGTCGGAGCTGGCGGGGGCGCTGTCCCGGGCCATACGCCACGTCATTGCGCCGCCAACCGTCAGCTGGCACGGCAGGCGGGTGGCGCTGCTGCCGGAGGAGACGGTGGGCAGCAGCAGCGACGAGTGGCGGCCTCGGCACATGACTGCGCCGCCTTTTGCACACCATGTAAGGGGACGCAACGGGGTGGGGTGGGCTGGTGGGGGTGAGTGGAGGGATAGGAAGGGGCGGATGAGAACGGCGGAAGGGGGGGAGAGCAGCGCCGGTGGCGGCTTGAGCACGGGATCTGTCCTGCCACGTTGCGGAAGGAGGTGGAAACGGGGTTGCACAGCTGCTAGATGGCGTGTGTGAGTGTGTGTGGGCGCAGGACCAGCACCAGCTCTCCGGCGGCATACAGGCTTTAATTACCCTCTCCACCCGTCCTCCTTATACCTCCTTCCATTCTGCTCGTTTGCGTGCGTGCGTGCGTGGCCGCTCTGCGGGTCCCATGAGCCCCTTCCCTTCCCACCGGACACGTGGACGTGTCGGCAGTTGGCCCGCTGCGTCTCGCATGTGATAATGTTCTCCCCGCTACCCTGCTCCCACGCCGCTCCCATCCCACCCCGCCTCGCACAGGTCAACTTCCACATCGTGGTGCTGTCCGACAACAGCCGCTTCTTGCAGACCTCCAACCCCCACACCGCAGCATTTGACGTGGATGGATTCAAGGTGGCCGTGGATGACCTGCGCCTGCCAAACCAGGTGACAGGGTGTGGGGCGGGTGGAGTGTGGGGGCTAGGAAAAGGCAGGCAAAACCCGAAATTGTTCCGAACGCGAGGAGCGGGTAAACAACGTGATGATTACGATAACAATATGGTGATGATGATGATGATGATGATGATGATGATGCAACGTGTACAACTAAACTGCCGACGTCCTTGTCTCAACCGGCAAAAGGAGGGAGAGAGGCCGAGGAGGGCTTGCGCGGAATGGTGTAATAGTACTGATGCCACAGTACGACATGCTTATGTCAGCATGATGCAGTGACCGCTTTAAGAAGTGCCGTGTTATATAATTCCCTGTCCCGCTACTCTCCGTTACTTCCCCCGGTTACCCGCACGTTCCCGTTCCTTTATTGACTCTATCTCACCCCTTCCCCCGTTCCCTCTTCCCCTTCACTCGTTCGTGGTTCGTCTTTCCCCCCTTCCCCCCTCACTGTACGCGCATGTAACACGTTTTCCCCCCCAAAACACACTAACACATACACGCACACGCTGACACACACGCATACAGGTGTTCCAGTTTTTCGTCAGCCGGGTGAACCTGTTGGACGAGCCTGCCCTGGCAGCGGGTATGGCGGCAGCCATGCGTACCACGCTGCACGACATACCTTCCTCCGAGGACTTTTTCGAGGGTGAGCTGCAGCAGCTTCGGCGGCAATGCTGATAATTTGGCGATGACGATGCTGGTGGTTAATTATGATTGTGATTGTGATTATGGTCATGATGAGGATGAGCAAAGGAGCACATTACTTGGAGGAAGGGAATGGCAAAGGTAGCTGCACGGGTGTTACGACATGTGGATGACAGCGTCTATCGGCTGGCTGCCCGGCCCCGACCTGTACCGCGGGCCTTCTCTGCATTTTGCCATTCTCACAGCACCTCCACTTCTCCCACACCTCCGCTTCCTGGTGTACCCACCTCGGCGCGGATTTCGCTGTTGTCTAGCGCCTCTTCTGCTCTCGCGAACACGACCGCTGAACCCGTCTTTTCCCACCCGGACCTCCCCCAACCCCCCGCCGCATCCTCTTGTTCGTGTGTCTCCGCCTTAAACCTCTTCCCTGTTACCATGTCTACCCTTCCGCCTCCTTTCTCCCGGCATCCCGCCGCGGGGCCCCACTTCCTCCCCTCTTGCCCACCTGCTGCCTGCCATCGCCTTTTCATCATCCCCGTCCTCGACCTCGGCCTCCCAGCTGAGATGGAGCGTGTGTTCGTGGACAGCCGGGAGCTGGCCGCCACCCTGCGCCGGCACTTCCCGCCCACCAAGCAGCAACTGCACCGGCAGCAGGCGGAGAGCAGCACACGGAAGATCAGCCTCACGGTGAATGAGTGGGTGCTAGTGAATTGCCCGGGAGGGGGCCGGGGTCGGGGCTAGGTTAGCGAGGCAGATGCGGGCCGGGGCAAGTAGCCAAGACGGCAGCGCCGGGCTGGGTTGGAACCAGCGATACGCACTACGGTGAATCGGGACGTCGAGTTCCACCAGACGTGACTTTCTTCGCTCTGGCTGGGCAGGTGCCATGTCGCAAGACTGGAGAACCGTACTCTTGTGTTTAAAACACATGGTACTTTTTGTCGTCCATTCCCCCATTCCACCCCAACCCCGCTTACGCACTTCCCCACACGCCCCAACCCCCGCAGGCCCAGACTCGCGACGTGCCCGTGTACGTCTTGCAGCTGGAGCGCGACGCTGCCGTATTGCTGGACGAGCATTACAACGCCCGAGCTCTCGAGGACATGATCCTGGTGGTTTCCAACAGCGCGCGGAGGTGAGGTGTTCAGCGATATTTTGCACCCCTGTGAATGAGGAAATCCCACCCACATGTTAATCCCCAAGCGTACTCCCTCCTTTTTATTATTTTTGTTTCTGCACATACGATTTTCCCTTCTTTCCTTCCTCCTCTTCTGCGGCTTTTCCCCTTAGCTCCTCCTTCCTCTTCATTCCCCTCTCCTCCGTGACTTGTTTTTTCCTTTTCTAACCCCCTCCTCTCTCCGCTCCCCTCCCCTTTCCTGCCTTGTCCTCGCCAGGGATGAGCACCCCACGGGTATGATGTGCGGCGGCATGCTGGTGGCCCGACCCATCTCCGCCCTGAAGGAGGCCCTGGCAGCCACCCTGCTGCACCTGGGCGGGGTGCTGCCACCACACCTGGGCTATAACCCTCGTAGCCACACCGTCACCCATGACTGGCTGTGGTCCGTGGGGGGCCACCCTCTGTCTTTTACGTCGACAGGTGAGAATGGGAAGTCTGAAAATTCTATATTTGATTCCGAAGCTGTGTATAATTTTCTAAATTCTGAAGCTGGATCTGATTCTTTGGGTCCTGAAGCTGAAACTTCTCAAATAGACACTGGCTCGACGCTGTTTGCAATTTGGTGCCCTAATCAGGTTGATGATATCGTGTCATTTTGTAAGTAGCTTACTGTGTGTGTTCATGAAGGGAGCCGCGAGAGGAGGAGCCGCGAACTGTAACCTTGTTTGTAATCGTCGACGCGCGGCCCCGCACTCGTCCCCACCGGACTTCTTTCTGTGCAGGTCAGCAGTACACGGTGATGCAGCGGGACGCGCTCGCCCGGTCCTACCTGCTTGACGCACTGGACACGAGCGTAGATGCGGTGAATGCGGCCATCGTACAGCTTGCGAAAGCCAAGCCGTCGACCAAGCTGTTCAAACATGTAAAGGTGCGTGCGTGCCGGCGCGCGCGCGCGTGTGTGTGTATGTATGCGTGCATAAACATGAAAAGGAGAGCTGGGTCGAGGATAAAATTTGTAGCGTGCGTCTGTGTTTTTGTAACGTAAAGCTGCCAGCTGGGTAACGACAATTTCCCCCAACCCCCGCGCAGGAGCATCATGCCGGTGTACGGAGCCTGCTTCGTGCGTACGGCGATGTGGTGTCAACCTGGCGCTCCGCCGCCGCGGTGGCGTACATGCTGGATTTCACCACTGCCCTCGAGTACCTCCGTACTCTGGAGAGCCAGGTGCATACGGTGGCCGAGCACGCCTATGCAGTGGCGCACATGGTGCGTGTGGAACTGCTCCGTTGTCGAGGGGAAAGATTCGGAGGGAAAGGGGGTTGGAAGGGCAGGGCACAGGAAAAGAGAAGAGGCAAAGAAGGCTTGCGCCTTGGACGTGACCGATGGGAGGAGGACAAATAAGCTGGAAATATTGGGTATTGGAAAGGGATACCGGTACTGCAGATCCGATGCATGTGATCCATTACGAAGGTACAACGGATTGGGTAGGGAGGGATGGAGGGTTAGCTGCGCCCCATGACTGATGACTGATGGCCAAGAACGCGCTGCTGCTCTGCATTGCTCTGCCTGGCTAGCTGTGCGGGGTGGTGACCACGTTTTTCCACGTACGAGGCGAGGCAGAGCTCTCCGAGTCTGCAATCCCACCATTCCTCCTCTTTTTCGCGGGCTTCTCTTTCCACAGCTCCGGTATGCATTTAAATGATTGCACACAACAGTAACGCTGCCGCTGTGTTCCTGCTGCTAAATCTTCTGTTGTTGCTAACCCTGTTGCGGTTGTTTCTGTTGTATGCCCTGCAGGCGGATCCGGTGCATTGTTCTGAGCAGGTGGTGGATTCGGTGGGGCTGCTGGTGCCGGTGACCTATCTGGGCAGTGCGGTGCTGGCGGTGCTGTCACTGCTCTGGGCGGTCCTCCCTCGGCTCACTTTCCGCAAGGCCAAGGCCAGCTGAAGTCAATGAGGGAGACTGTGACTTATGCGACGCCAGTGTGGCGTCCTCACGTCTGGCGCATGTGCAAAGGCTAAATGCTCCTTTAGGCCATGTGGCGGGCTGGGAGGAGGATTTTCGAAGAGGAGGCGCTGTGGCGGGCGTCGCGTCCTGTTAGTACGGTCCAGTTGGGCGTGCTTTAGTCTGGAGTAGGGTTGTATTGTACAGCCCTGGGCATTGGGCAGGGGGTTTAAGAGGTGGGACTGAGTTGGGGTCAAATGCAAGGTAGGTCGGTGGGGGCTATGGGGCGTGGGAGGAAGAGGGGAGGCTGCATGCGTATGCGTACATGTGGATACACATGGGTATGTGTGCGTGCATGCGTGCACAAACGCCTTTTTGTGGATGGCCTCTGGGCCCCTGCCGCCTTTCCCTGGTCCGCTTTGGCTTTGATCGATGCTGTGGTGCGTTTTTGCGGGGTATATCCCTGTCCAGCACCTCTTCTTCGCTCTTTTTTCTTTTATTATACTGAAAGGCTCGGACCGCGTGAGTTCGTAATAAGTTCGTGATAAAGTCTCCGGCAACTGGGTTGCTAGCTTGGACAGCTGACAAAGTAGAAGGTGAGGATGCTTGCTTTGGCTAGGCACCTTCTGGCATGGCACGGATATGCTAGTTGGCTGGCTGGGTGGCTGGTTCGCTGGCTTTAAATGGTGGTGTGGCGAATGTAAAAAAAGACGTCTCCATTGTTTGCTACGAGGCCAAGTGGAGGGCCCACCCCGACCCCACGCAGAAGCTCAGAACAGGCGACGAAAGGAGCAGCAACTGGGCACGCATATAGAGCTCTTACGTGCTTGACCAGGGAATGGCTGCAGCAGAAGAAAAGCTTTGGACGGGAAAGAAAGTAGAACGGGATGGCATGGCCGAGGCAGCCCTGGCGACGCTTGGACGGCATCAAGGGAGAAATTTTTTTGCGGTACTTGAAGTTGTTTCCGTTGATAAGTAACTACTTCCAACTACCCGATTTGAAAGGGAGGCTCGGCGCTCATGTTGCCTCTTTGCGCAATGTCGGCGTGGCAGGTTGTGGGGAAAGGGCTCGCATGCACTAGATGTACGCGTGGGTAACATGGATGCTGCTTTTAGGCCGGAATGAGAACATGAAGCGCTCTTTCATATACATTAGACAGAAGTTACCTTGAGCAGAGGACCGATAATGCCCAATTCGGCGGGCGCTTCCACCGGATAGGAGCGTGACTACAGGATAGACGAGATGGCCCCGATAGCATTTGCCCAAATTCTTATACGGAATATAAGGAGGCGTTTTAACTGCTATGAAAAAAAGGTTGCCATAGCGTGGAAGAGTCAACAGGTTCACATGTTTAATTGTTGTCAAGGTTGCAACGCCTGAGCCCTCAGCTACGCAGCAGTGAACATACGTATAGATGTATGGACTTAAGAATTTACCTGGAAATACTCGAGAGAGCACACAGGGCCGAGACTTGGGCGAGACTTGACGAGGGCTTAGCTGACGACATGTTGTCGTACGATATGACTGAGGGAGACCTGTAAGGAGCGCTTGAAGTCATGCGCATATAGGACGTCTTGGCATATGGTGTAGAACGCTGCACGCAGACGTCCTTGTGATGCCCTGAAACGGTTACTTTCCTCCGATAGGCTATGTTGCCTTTCCCGTCTTTCGGCTTAATTTTAAGGCTGAGGTCCATAGGGATGGAAAATTAGATGGCTGCGCACTCCCGCCAGCATGCAGCTGCCAAATAGGAGGGCGCCCTGAGGACAGCCCGCACTCAAAGAAACGCATAGACAGAAAGCAGCAAGGCATTTAGCTCATTGGCGCAGTTCTTTTTCAGCTCATCTCCTCAGCCGCAAAAGCTGTTCCGTTGGTCAGGGCAGGGAGGAGGCCCAAAGAGGGCCATTGCCATAACTCATACCTACGCCTAAAGTCTCAAACCCCGAAGAGCATGTCTGCGAGTGGATTTCTGGTCCTGGACTCAGGCAGCGCCTCTTCGTCTATAGTCGCGAACAGCGACGAGGAGGCTGATGCTGCCGGGAGCCCTTTTGTTGTCCTGCACAGCGCAGCCCAGGTTGGGTGCAGTTTGTGAAACCTTAAGGGTGGGAACCGATAATCCTTCGCTTAACTCTAGCCATGGAGCCCAGGAAGCTCGAATGTTGAGAAGCATGGTTGGCTTTACCTGAGACGTCACCTCTTGCTAGACCTGCAAGCATGACAAAGTCCTGGCCACCTTCGCACAGGTCGATCACCATGGGCGCTCCCTTCCTACGGCTATCCGCGTTGGTGGCGTCAGCCCCGTCGACTGGCCATCCAGCCTTGACGACACCACGACACACGCTCTGCAGCCAGTGGACACCACGGCGGTGTTCTTTGACCCTGACTCCCAGCGCGCCGACTCAATCCTCCAGGGGGCCGGCTTATGGCCGCTAGGGAACGTCGGTGGCGGCACCACAGCGACCCAACTCCTGCCAGGTACGGCAAGCAGATCTCATTTTAAATCCCTGTCTGGGAACAGCTCTATCAGCAGTGAGCCTTCTGCCTTCGTCCGGGACAGATCCGGAATGGAATGCCGGAATCATCTAGCGCACACACCTGGGCTTCAGTTTCGACCGGTGAGGGTCCTTCACTCGATGTTGGCCCCCAGCCGTAGTGCCTATCTGCACAACATTCTTCACCGCCTCTGGAGGGCTCTTGAATTTGTGTTATTTGTGACCTTTGGTGTTGGCGAGGGGCACAGTATCGAGTGGGCGTTCCCAGGCTAAGCTTGTGAGGTCGCGTAGTCAGGGCGGATGCGGAGGCGAGGCTAGGGGGGCCAGGGGGAGAAAAAAGCCAACGCATGTATCCGAGGGCACCATGACTTCTGTGACGCTTCCCCGTGTGCCGGCCGGGCACATGATGACGCCGCCTGGAGCAGGTATTGCAAACAGTCCGGCAGCTAGCTCTTCATCGCCAGCGCTCGTGACGCGCTCGGTCGTACCAGTCAGGTGGTCACGAGGCCCCGGGACGAGCTCAGGCGGCGGCGCCAACTCCTCAGCCGACGGCTGGGGTCACGTTACAGCGGCGGCGGCAGCGACGGACGCCGGAGACCCGCTGCCATCGCCGCCGCTGCGAATAGGGCAAGAGGCTGCGGGTGGCGGCCCTGGCGCCGCAGCTACCGCCGCGCCGTCAGCTTCCAGCCCTGCTCATGGTGCTGGCAGTAGCACTCGCGCTAGCACGAATGTTGATGCCGCAGTATCAGCCCTTACGATGAGCAGGAGCCGGAGCGGCGCCTGCCAGGGCGGCTTCGCGGGCAGCGGCCAGCAGAAGCAGCAGGAGCAGCTGGAGCAGCAGAAGCAGCAGGAGCAGCTTGAAGAGGTCAATCTTCGGAAGGGGCAGGAGGAGAAGGAAGGGGAGGCGCTGTCTGGTGACAGCGCCGAGGGAGACGGAAGTGATGACGGCGGTGCGATAGGGTTACTTGGCGGTCTGGATGAAGACACTCTGCGTTCCATTCCGCCGGCTCTAATGCAGATGCTGCTGCAGTTGGAGGAGGAGCGAGACGAGCTGGCGGGGAGGCTGCTGGAGTCCGGTAGGCAGGGATGGATGGATGGATGGACTCTTCCTCGTCCAGAACCGGCAGGGTTGATGGTAGTGGAGGTCGTGCTAGGTCCGCTTTTCCTGAAGTTTCCTAGCTTAGTCAGACATTGGAAAAAGAGAAACAATTACTAGCAGAGGAAAGCTCGAAAACATCTGCGCAGTCATTTTCTCTTTCGGAATCTGGTACGGTCTCCGCTGTACGGCACGGTACGAGCTTTCCTCCGTGTTTGTTTGCTTCCAAGTGCTCCTCCTGTCCCATCTATCGTAAATTGTCGGCCAGCCTCGTTTTGGGTCATCATGTCTCTATTTCTCTCTCTTTTCCTTCTTATTCTGACTTCCTCCTCCCACCTCAACCACCACCAGATGCGGAGCTCTCGGCGCTCCGAGCTAGCTACCAGCAGCTCTCTCAATCACACGCCAGCAGCCAGACCTGGCTCAACCAGCTGCTGACGCAGCAGCTGGAGATCCATGAGCGCCGCCAGCAGCAGCTGCGCCGCCGTCGCGCCGCCCAGCAGCTGGCGGCGCCAGTTGCGCCTGTGGATGTGGAGGACGTGACGGGGGAGGTCGAGGTGGAGGAGGTCACCGGGGAAGTAGAGCTGGATAGGGAGGATAGGGAAGAGGTCCCGCTGGCTGCGGCCGGGTCGCGATTGCGGGGAGGAGCTGGTGGGGTGCTGGCGGCCCCAGCAGCGGCAGCAGCAGGGCCGGTGTCAGGGGCTGACCTGGCGCTGCTAGGGTGTGGAAGTGGTGGGGAGGTGGGGGGCGGGGTCCAGGAAGCTGCGCGGGAGCAGCAGGTCGCGTCAACGTTAGCGTTACTGCCGTCGCAGCGGTTGCTGCCAGCGGCCGCGGCGGTAGAGGCTGAGACCGAGGCCGGGTTTGCTCAAGCGGAACGAAGTGGCAGTGGTGTCGAGCGGGAACAAGTTGTATCCCAGCACTGTAATGAGGCTTTGTTTTTACGTTCGGAGAGCAATGGCGTGGGCGCATCAGGTGTTGCTGGCAGCGGTGCTAGTGGTGCTGCTGCTAAGCGCTCCGCTGCGTCGGCTGTAGCGTCAGCCTCTGGTAGCAGCAGTGGCAGCGGTTCCGATGACGAGACCGCGAATGTACGCGGCGGGGAAGCGCATAGAGACGGCAGTGGCACCGTCGCTAACGACGGCGGCGGCTGCATCGACGCTGGTTCCTCAATTGCGGTAGCTGTGGACGCTCCGGCGACGGCGGCGGCAGCCCAAGTCGAGTTGCAGCCGCCAGCCAGGTTGGCGGTGCAGGTCCAAACGGTGATGCAGGACGGGCCGGCAGCGGCTGCACAGGTGGCCGACGATGGCCCCATGGGTTGGTCTATCGTGTCGGCACTGGACGAGGACAGGGAAGAGAGGGAAATGGGCGGCCAGAAAGAGGAGGAGGAGGATGAGCAGGAGTGCTCGCAGGAGGAAGCCACGCCTTTCATGGCCACGGGGGAGGTGGAAACCGGTGGACTGCGGAGGCGGCGACAGCCGCAACAAAAACAGCAAGAGCAGCAGCAGACGACGACGACGACGACGACGGAGGAGGAGGAGCAAGTGCAGCAGCAAGTTCAAGATGGACAGCGTCACCGCAATGAGGATGCGACGACTCCACGTCGGCCGCCTGGCAGGCCTGGCAAACGCGCCGCAGCAGAGGTCGGTGTCGGCGGTTGGGGCTTTCTGGCGGATGTTCGGTTCCCAGGGCTTTCCGCGCCGCTGCCGTTCCCAGCCCTGGCCGTGGCTCTCATGACTTTATCGGTGCTCCTGTTGCTGCTCACGACGGGCGGTATACTGCTAAAGAGGGCGACAGCATCAGCACCGCCCCCATCGCGAGGCATCGTCGCGGGTCACCCCGCCCCAGAAATCCCTCCCCCTCAAATCCCTGCCCCTCGGGCCCCACCTTTATCGGAACCGCCAGCACGGTCCCGCAAAGCGCCGCGGGCAGGACCGGTGGGGGCTGCCGCTGCCGCTACGCCCACAGCTAATGCCGCTGCCGCCGCCGCGGTTACAGTGGCGATGGCGGCCGCAGGCGTTGAAGTTCTTCCTGGACAGTCCCTGTGCCTGCTGGGCGCTGCTGCATCTGCGAGAGTAGGGCCAGCAGTCAATCCACCTGTCCCTGAGCTGTGCACCGTCTCCTTCGATTACGCGGAGTGCAGGCATATTGATCAAGATGGAGGGGGTTCGACCGGCTCGGGCTTGGGAGCAGCAGCAGCGGCGGCTGCGGCGACAGCGACTGTGATGTCCGCGGCAACGGCGGCGGTGACTGTTTCTCTAGGCAGTGGGCCAGCGCCGCAGCGAGGCGAAGTTATTGTAATGGCGGCGGGGGAGGGCCGACGAGCTGAGAGGGGTGCGGAAGCAGGTAATGGGGCCGGCATCGCCATTGGTGCGACCTCAACCGCCCCTACTGCCTCCTCGAGAGCTGGTGACACAGCCTGCATGGGAGGCGCCACCGCTGCAGCCACTGCCGCGGCTGCTGCATGGGTTGCCCCGCCGCCGCCGCCGTCAAGCGCCGCCTTCGTGGCTGTGACGGGTGCTCAGGAGGCGCCACCGCACCAGCCTGCTTGCGCTAAGCTACAGCGACTGGGCGAGGCCTTTTGCTTCCACGGAGGGAAGAAACCTAGCTTGGGTACGGTTTCGGAGCATGGCAACAGCAAGACGGGCCAGGACCGCCAATGTCGTAGCAAGGCAAAAGAAGAGCGTCGCGGAGGTCGCAGCGGCGGCAGCTTTTGCGGCAATGGAAGCAGCAGCAGCAGCGGCGGCGGCGGCAGAAACAGCCCGGAGGCCGCATGCCAGGCGTTTGCGGTGGCGCTGGAGGCGGCGCCTGGCGCGGTTCAGCCCGTTGCCGCTGCGGTGCGAAGCGCGATGCGGGGTTTGGAGGACCGCTGGTGGCTTCTGGTGCATGACGTAGAGAGCATGGCCACGACAGCGACGGGGCACGGCCGCAGCGACGGACGGCAGCAGCGGGGTGACGGTGACCGCGGCCGCGGAGGCAGCCGCAGCCGTGGCGCCGCTCACCCCCTGGAGGCTGATCACCAGGACGAGGATCAGGCACTTGAGCACGGCATCGCTTCTCAGGTTCGTTTGGATGCTGTTGGGAAAGCACGCCTGCGGTTGACATGTCAATGCAGCGGAGATCAGTGTAATGGCTGCGAAGGGCAGACAAAGACACAGGGCAGGGGGGGGGAGGGGTTCGGCTCGGAGGTCTTCAGTGAGTGTCGAGACCGTCGGTTGTCGACCACTCGCGGCCCCTTTTAAGCCGTTGTTCCGATAGCGGTCCGTCGGCAGTTCTCTTGTCCGCTAATCACCCGTCCTGATGCGCGCTATTATTGCCACTATCACTGCTGCTGCAGCTGTCAGTATTGCGGTTGCTGCGCTTGCGCTTGCGCTTGCTACTGTCGCTGTTGCTTTCTACTGCTGTTCTTTCTTTTACTTGCAGCTGTTGCTATTTACTACCACTAATGCTTTGCACTGCTGCTACTGCCGCCACCGTGGTGCTGCAGGTGGTTGCGGCCTGGGTTACCTCCCATTGGCTGCCCGACCTGCAGCCCCTGGTGACGGGGGTGGCGGAGGATGAGGAGCTCCCGGAGGCCCTGGGGGCGGCACACAAGGTGGGTCGGGGGAAGGTCGAGGAACGTGGGGGAATGAGGGGTGAAGAAAACATGGGTTCAGGGTTTAGAATCCGCAGCAGCGCGGACCTGGGCGTGGGGTGGGGTGGGGTGGGGTGGTGCCCGCGACAGAACGCCCTATTAGGTGTTGCGCAGTGGACAGTGGGAGGGCGCACGAGCCCATGCAATGCTAATATGGATTGTAGGAAAGGGGGTTATATTGATGGCTATACTGCGGAGCTGGTAGCTTCCCCTGGACGGATGGATAAACGAATGAACGAACGCTGTCAACTGAATATGCCGTTTCAAGGCCCCTTGCGAGGCCCCTTTCCAGCCGTGCGCCAGTCAGGAGCTCAAGATATACTCTTGCCTCCGATGGATGCGTCCCCCTGCAGGCCATAACTCTGGCGTCTCGTCTTTGCGCAGACACAGGCTTGGCCAACCTGACGGCACAGCTGCAGCAGCGACTCGCCGGGGCGCTGGCGGAGGCGGCCGACGTCACCACTATTCACCTAGGCGTGTCGTACAGCGGCGGCGCCGCCGCCGTGGAGGCGGCGCTGGCGAACGCGAGCAGTTGCCTTTCCTGGCAGGCACAGCGCGCGGAAGAGGAGGCGAGTACAGCGGCTTGCAGACGGCGGTGCAGCCCCAGGTGAGTCTGTGGGTAGGTGGACTGATGCATCTCTTGCCCTAGCCCAAAGGGAAGCAAAAGCCAGCAAATATACAGGGTTGGTATGCTTGGTACTGGGAAGGGTCAAGAGCGCGCTGCGTGCTCGTATTTGCGGTATAGGGAGTGCTCTAGCCAAAACCGACACAGCCGCCGCCACCGGGCACCGGCGGACTCTTATGTATTACCCATGTGTTAACAAAACCGGCTGTCTGCTGCTACAGGGCACGCCTCCTGGCCGCGCTCCGCGGCATGGGCGTCCCTGTATCCTTCTTGGAGCGCCAGCCAGATTGGTTGGACCTGGATTTGGATTCTATCCTGGATTTGAACCTGGATTTAGATTTAGATGCATGGCTCCGCTCGGCAAAGAAGCCGGTAATGGATTGGCTCGCCGCCGCTGCGGCGGCAGCCGCCGACGGAGGTCACGGCGCCGCGTGGGAGTCTGCATGGCAGGCGGCACGCGACGGCTCCGCCACGGCGGCGGCCATGGGCGCGCGTGTGGCGCGCGCGGCTGCGGACGCCGCCAAGGCGGCGGCTGCCGCCGCCACGGAAGCTGCTTCGGAAGCGGTGCGCAGGGGGCTCGGAGGAGGCGAGTTGGGCAACGGCCATTGGGCCGACCTGACACGTGCAGGCCAGCAGGTGGGAGCTGAGGTGCGAAGGATGGCGGCGGCGGTAGCGGGGGCAGCGGCGGAGAGGGCGGCGCGGGGCTCCAAGGCCTGGACGGGGATGGGTGCAGCCCACTCAGCGTCGTCGTCATCGTCCTCATCGTCGTCGTCTTCCCACAGTTCGACTTTGGAGAACATGATGGCATTGCTGAGACAGGCTTACAAGCAGCAATGGAAAGTGATGGGTTGCGGCTGCGGCAGCGGCGGGGTTGCAACTGCTTCCGCGAAGAGCAGCACGACTTTCAGCAAGCCATGCGTCCGCGGCTTTGAGGCGCTGTTGCAGGCCGCAAGACAGGCTGCGACAGCGGCCGACAGCGTCTCATACGGAGACTGTTATGACAGTAATGAGGACGACGACCCATGGGTCAGTGGCCAGCGCCAGCAGCAGCGGCGGCGGCAGCGGCACGACGGCAACTGCCAGCGCCAGTCGAGGGAAGGCGACATGTGCGACAGCAAGCGCGACGGCGGAAGAAATGGGCGCAAGACTGGCGCTGGGGGCAGCCGCTGCCGTCGCAGCGAGGAAGATCGGGTGCTGGCGGCAGTGCCGGCAGTTGTACGGCGCTTCCGCGACGATGTTAATGAGTTGGCGGCCGCCGTGTCAGCGGTACGTGATCGATGTGAGGGGACGGCGGGAGGCGTCATGACCTACCTGGAGCAGCAGCAGCTGCAGCTGCAGCGTCGGCATTGACACCACTAGGGCTGCAACGGCTGGCGCATACAGAGACGTTGTACATGTTGATAGGTTCCGCGGCGGCTGAGTCTGGATGTGGCTGGTTCACTGGGCCTGCATATAGGCTCTCTGCCGACAATGGGTTGTGGTGTATATCGGTTGGTTAGTTGTGCTGCTGACTAGTAGTGCTCCTGGTGATGCTGCTGTTGTTGGTTGGTATCGGTGCTGGTGTCAACGGAAGGCTGTGGTGCATGTTCCCTGTGCCCCGCGTAGGCTGGCAGACCACCTTGGTATGCTGGACCTGGGTGACTGGAGGGAGTGTCGGGTTTTGTGTGGATGGAAATTGTACACTATAGCGCGGCTCGGCGATGATGGCAGCGATAAGACATTTTTGGTTACGAGGTTTGCAGTGATGGCGTTGGTGGTGTGGGCATGAAGTGGTTGGTGGCAGTTGCGGTAAGAGTGATATTGATGGTGATGGTGATGATGGTGATGATGTAGTTGCTCGACGTGATTATTGCAGGCACTTCTGCAGCATTAAAAGGGGGCGTCAACGCAGCAGGCTGTGCGCTAAGGGCGGTAGTGCATTGCGAGGAAGGGCTGGAAGAAGGGTTGGAGGGATGGAATGGGGACACGGAGAGCTCCCGAAGTGGCTACTACAGCAACGTGTCTTGTACGTTAATGTACAAGGCCGTACCTAACACTCGCATGGCCGGTTCCTTACGTTTTCTGGGTTTGGGTTTTTCCTTGCGCCCGTGTCCTGCACCGTGGTTCTGCTCGTTTTGCGGCCGTTGCGTCGCAAGTCCACCAGGGTATTTCGCGTTAAGTTCCTTTGTTGGGCTACTGCACGTGTCCAATTGCTCGTGAGGCGCCAACCTTTTATCGTAGGAGAGGGAGGCGCCCTGCAACGTGTGTCCCCGTGTGGGTCAAGAGTTGCAGGTGTTTCTCGTAGCGGTGTGAGGGAGGGAGAATAAGTGCGCGGTCGTGGCTGTGACGTGCGTGACGGCTTTCACTCGGAGAAACAGCCGGGAACGAACTGGAAAAAGGAAGAGAGCATGGCGATCGTGTCGGTGTGAGGTAATTATAAAAGCATCTTGTGACGGCAAGGGCCAGTAGAAGGAAAAAGAAGCGCTCAGCAGCGTTGGCACGGGTGTGTGCTCATTGTCTTAATTACGTAACGGCAAGGAATCCGTGTTTTCAGAAGAAGCGCCGGATGATACCTCCCCGCATGCGTAGCTTCACGTCGTATGTATGTATGTATGCATGCATGTACGTTTGCAGATGCTTCCGTGAGCATGAACACGTGCTTGGTGGCGAGGAATTGTTAGCGCATGGAAGCTCCGGCGCCGTCGTCGTCGCCATCACCGCCGTCGTGGCTACATGCTGTTGGTCGGCCGTTGGCTCCGTTGTCTTGACGTGTTGCCTCCGTGGACAGCTTTTCGCAGTTTGTTAATTGGGTCGTACATTCTGGCCCTTCCTGCATCGGGGCAGACTGTTGTATGTGCACCCAGGGTGCTGATTGCTAAGTTGGTCTGCACCTTGCTATTGTGTCGTGCATATTTGTTGATGCTGTTACTATTAAGGACTTGCATCTTGTTGTCCATATCATCATCGCCATCATCATCATTACCACCGTCACATACAGCCTCCTCATACCGCATGTGGGCCTTCTCCCTGCAAAAGGGTTTGTGAATAGTATGTCCGACGAAGCGCGAAATCAGGCTGAAACGGCCATTGACGAGCAAAGCATGCCGTTGCCATGGCAGGCCGGCAGCGTGACAGTATACGGCCGTTGTCCGTCACATAGTACGGAAAGTGTACGGCATGTAGATGTGCTGGTGGTTGGACGGGAGGCCGCGACCAACAACCCATATCGCCGATACGGTTTGCGGGAGTCTCCTCTGAACGTGACAAAGCCGCAGTTTACAGTACCGCGCGAAAGGTGGATTGCGAATTGGAGGGTGCTCACCGGGGTTATAAAATTGATAACTTACGAGCAACATAACTGCGACACTGCTGGGGTAGGGAGGATTTGTGCATGATTTGAAATCCTGACTTTTCTGTGCGTGTGTTGGATTTTAACAGTGAGACATGGATGGACCTTAAACCAAGAAATATGCCGAAACATGTGAGCTGGAGGCAGCCTTTTTGTGCATGTTGACCCAAGCTAGCATGGCAGGGTTGTGCTGTAACATATTAATCATGCTGAGCAAATTCCGCGAGTCGGCTTCTGCGTCACGCTAGCACTGCAGACGTCCTCGGTTAACCCCGCCAAGCCTCGTTGTGTTGTGCGCATCCTATGCATTTCACAGCCGGCAAGGGGTTTACGTTTACGACTCGTCATGTCAAAACTACCTTGCGCGGAGTGCTGTGGACATAAGGAGCATGCTGACAGTCTAAAGTGCCCCTTGCTGCGGGGCCTCCGGATCCACCACACCCTTCGTCCGCCTCGAAATCTAATTTAATCATGTTTGACCCAGTGGTTTTAACAGCTGGGGCTGTCTTGTCCCGAAGGTACGGCCTCGCATCCTTCACCTTTGCTGAACAAGACGTTGGTTATTGTTGGGGGACCACAGCGCACCCTGCGGATCCGCGAGCAACTGCGGCGGTGAGGGTGCGTGGCGTACGAGCCTGGAAGTTGCAAACCTCACCTTGTTTGCGGTGAGGTCTTGGTCGTGGATGGCGGACCGCTAACATGAGCGGAATAGGTCCTTGTGATGCATCTGCCACCCATGCATGATGTAATGGTAGCCACAATAAAAAAGAATAAGCCCTCGATGGGGATAGGTTTACCGGTAAAACACTTCAGAGAAAGAGTTGACTTGTCTGGGAATTGTGTTCGCAGCTTGAAACACCGTAACCTTAATAATATAGAGAAATAAATTTATACGCTATAGTGTCTGTTAAGCTAGCCTGTCCTTACGGCCACAGTGCAGGAGCAGCGGGGGAGGGAAGTTCCGGAACGTGAGGGCGTTACGCTGGACTTATACGCCAGAAGTCATTTATTTCATTCCAGCTACAATTGTCATCTCGACAGATCAGTAACAATGTTTCGCGTATCGGCTGAAGCTGCCCTCAAAAGTAATAGAATAGAGGTCCTTTTTTAGCTGCTGGTTATCGATTGAAGCTCCTGAGAGCAAGACGAGCGCGGTAAACGCAGGATTTGTATTGATGGTGTTCTTTTAGGAGCAATCTGGGCGACTTCACCTGGATGCATTCTTGGATGAATTGTACGGGGCCAGCTCAGCATGGCAGATATATATACTGTGTGCCTCTTTGCGAGACATGTCTCCTAATGAGTTGTGTAACATAACACGTGAGCGCAGCAAGCTTTACTTTAATAAACTTCATTTCTTCGCCCGAAAGTTTTCGGAACAATCTCGGACGTTTTCCAGGCCCTGGAAGGGCTGCTAGCGGGATGGTGCTCCACATGCTAGCCGTCTTTGGGCGTGGTAGGTATACTGGCGCAGCAACTTTATTGGCGCATTTATTTTCTGACCTGCCTGCCTTCATTGCTGGCACAGAGACCGCGCATCCACCAACTCTCATAGAGTCTGAAGAGGCTTTGAAGAAAACCCATCAACCGGTCCTTGCTGACGAAGAACGCCAGGCCGAGGAGGTCAGTCCCGGGATCTCGGAAACACGTCAGGCAATTGTACCGTAAAACCCTATCACGACATCTTTCTGGACCGATTTTGATTCTTCCTTGGCATGTTAGCTATTCCTAGCAAAATTGATGCGGCCAGAAGCGGTTTGGTGTTTTGTTGTTTTGCTTCTCCGGAAGCTTGCCATCAACGGTTTCTACCTGCTTTTGCCGCCTGTACCCCTAACAGGAGCTATGTGCTAAGTTAATCGAGACTGTGTTCAACGCTGCAAAGCCCAGCACGCGGCATAAAATGCTCCTGGGCAAGGGCAGTGGCATACTTTGGGAGGCCTCTCCCTACTGCAGCTATGCGATGCGCGACGGAGTGCACGTCATGTTCTCCGGAGAGGTCAGCGAATGGCCAGGTGGCGTCAACGCGGTCTCGGCTGCGCATGACGGTATGTGGGGTATCCGCGCTCCACGGTCCTCAGGCAGTGCTCTTTACATTGCGGTATCCTAGGGGAGCTCCATATATTAAGAGTCGCATTGACCTACATGCAACTTTATGCGAAAATATTATATGTTATGCAACCGCGAGGTTATTGCGGCGGTGGTGAAGGCGTTGCATTTTTGACGTTCGCGTTGCGTTCCTGATGTATGCTGCCGAATATTATCCGAGAGGGATTTGGAAGGATGTGCGAGTTGTGACCGCAAAGCTGAACCCGGATCCAAATGTCGCCTCTGAACCTTCATGCTTGCTGCTGCCATGGTTGGGTGTGGGAGATACGCAGCAGCCTTCCCGCGTTTGTCTGAAGCCCTCCACTCCCCACCTCTTATGCGCGAGGGAAAGATAAGCAACGCGGTGTTGAAGCTACCTCCTAACTCCCATTACCTGTATCGTATGTATGGTATCAGTCATATAGCTGGTGATTACCTAGACCACAAGGGTGCATTGAGTAGCCGTGGACTTTGTTTCCACTAGCTGAATTGCAACAACACACTGAAAAGGACAGGGAGCGATACGGTCGAAATCGCCCACATACCCGCGGGATAATTTAAGAAAAATATTCGGGAGATATCTGGATGAGTCGGAGTCATAAAAACATAGTGGAGAGGGCATTAGATACCGATATGAGAGAACTTCCCTTGTGTACCACTCGGGCCGACTCTGCAGCATCTTGAGAAGCTGCAGGACTGTTTTTAAGGCGGATTTGGCAGGCAATAGACTTACTGCAACCTGCTGTATATACTGCTCGTCCTTCCCCGCTTACCTGCAGCATTTGTGCGCAACACCCCCCCGCTCGAGGAGAACGACGCGCACTGGCTTCTGGACTTCTACAGGTGCGAGGGGGCCCTCCTTGTCCTGCGCATCTCTAGGGTCTGGCCAAACTCATTCAAGGAAGGGACCGTTGGCCTGTACAGCCCCTGGTGTTATTGCAGGGGTTGGGAGAAATGAACTGTGCAGAAAACATGCTATTAAAGAAATGGTGGACCTAAGCGATCACCTTAGCGAAGGGTTCATGCAAGGTGTATTATACGCACACAGTCTTCGCTTCGTATATAGATCAACAGCCGTATTTATAATTTGAACACACATCTCTGCCTCGCAGTTGAACGTGTGCTGCTGTCGCTGCTGTCTCTGAATCGTTTAGATTGAACATGTCTGTTGTAACTTAGGGGCCCGACATTTATACCTTTATGCCTTGTCTTGACCCATTCCCCATCCTGCCATCCCATCCATCGGCCCTTGCCATGCAAGCACTGACGCTCATGCTCCCGGGCCCACACCCATTTCCCTCCGGTCCCTCTGCGCACCATCTTTTGTTTACAGCACGTTCGGCAAACCCACCTCGGACAGCACTGCGGCCACCGCGCTCGAATGCATGGCCCAGATTAAGGGCAGCTTTGCGTTTGTCATCTACGACTCGGTCCATGTGAGTACTTGATTGTTCCATATGATCATCAGTGCAGTGCCGATCCCCAAGTTGTGTGTTGCAAGGTACACCTTTTGGGAGTCTGTCCCTGCCTGCCTCTGTTCGTGTACAGTATGCAGATAACCGAAACTATCTTCATCGGCGCACTGCTGCGCTCCCCCCCTTGGCTTTCCCTCGGCTCCAAAAGCTGATCTGGGTTGGGCCCGGTCGATTGAGGGTGTTATATCGAGCGATCTTCGGCGGGTTTTGTAATGACCACTTAGAAATACCCTCTAAAGGGGCGTGGGAGGTCCTAAAGGGAGACTGTCCTCTTACTCCTGAGGAGGCTTATCCAGCGCATTGGAGCTCATCATCGGATTTGCGGCGGCCGAAGGAAGCAGGGCAACGCCTTGTGTTCCATTTTCCTCCTCACTACAGCCAAAGGAGGGCTCGTCCTCTGGGGAGTAAATGGGGAGTCGATGTACTCGGTATCCCTCATATACCCTGATTCTTAAGTACTGGATGTGGACATGCGGATATCACCAGCATGGATGCCTTTCCTGGGATTCATTTAATTAACTAACGAATACGTATCCGCTGCCTGCGCGCTAATTTTGCCTATTCCGCTTGTCGGACAGCATCGTGTGTTGGCGGCCCGCGACCCCGAGGGCACCCAGCCGCTGTACTGGGGCTGCACGGATGCTGGCCAGCTGCTGTTTGGCTCGGTAGCCGAGGACCTGGAGGGCTGCAACCCCACAGCGGCGCCCTTCCCCGCGGGCACCCTGTTTGCCAGGTAACAAACAGGGAGCAGTGCAGTGGTGGTAGCAGTGTCAGGCAGTGCTGCGTCCCTCGTCCCCCTCCCTTGACCTTTTGGATCCCATCTGGGTCGGTTTTGTTTTTGCTTCCGAGATCAATTTCCCTACCTTCCTTACCCTTTCCTCATTCTTTGGACCGTTTAAAATTTAGTCGTTTCCTAACCGGTGTCTATTTTGTTTTATATTGACATGGCTGCTCCTATGATTATTCTCAACCTCATCTATCCTCTCTTCTCCACTTAATCCTTCCCTCCGACCTTCCACTTCTTGTTTTCCCTGCTGTGTACGAACTGTTTGATGTTCTGCAGCGAGCGGCACACGGTGGCGTACAGTCCTGGAGACTACGGCTGGGTCATTGTGGACGACGACTACCCGGGGCTGCTGATGTCGTTTGTCAAGATGAGCCTGGAGGGGCAGGCCGGCTTCAGGAACGTCAAGGTGAGTGACGAACTTCATAGACTGCATAAAAAGCCCTGCAAAAAATGGTGAAAACGAAGACTATGTTCAGCTGCTGCCGAGTTTGGGTTCAGGATAACGGGTGCGGAGGGGATCTAGGCTCCTAGGCAGCCAGCACCTCCGTCGTACCCCGTCTTTTTGCCTTCGTCGGTGAAGGCGCTGGTTGGTTGGTTGGCGACATGGATTGGTTGGCAGCGTAGGATAACCATGCATGCCAGATCCCATGCCGATTATTAGAGGGCCCTCCTCGCGCCCTCACCTACCTACCTGGAGTTCACGACCATTTCCTCATACTTCACTGTTTACAGACCTGACCCGACCCCACCCGATCCCACCCACCCTACCCTACCCTACCCCACAAGGCCATCCCTCGAGTCACGAGCAAGGGTGTCGTGTGCGGAGCGGTGTACAAGGTGTCGAGTGTCCCCAACATCGACGGAGGTATTTGCTGATGTCCGCTAACCATCCTGATGATGCGATGTTGATTAGAATGAAGGGCTGCTGAAGGGGCTGGGAGGAGAGGTCCACTGCTTTTAGTGCTGGGGACTGGAGCAATACCACTACTATTGCTTATTACTGTCCTCTTGCGCTTCGCCTCGGAGTTGAGCTAAAAGAAGGGACTGCGGAATAGTATGTGTGGGGGAAGGGATAGGACAGGTAGCAGCGGTCAGCGACGATGATAACGGCAAGGTTGAGAGAGGAGCAGAAGCTATAGAATATGCCGGAATGGGATCCGGACCAGACAGACCTTGGGGTCGCCTATGCACCTTGTTCTGGCGACGCGGCATCTGGCACTTTCAGGACTTGTACATGGGACGTGTGTGCATGTGTGCACAGTCGTCTTGGAAGGGATTTGCCTCCGTGCCGCGGTATCCTTTGTATGGCGTCGTGGATTGGGGAACGTGGCGGACTCTCCTGCCTGGAGGCGGTGGACAGATACGCCGATGGAAGTGGACTTCCTTGTCGAGGCATACAGCGGGTGTCGGCGGCTCTTTCGCCGCCCTCTCCTGGCGACATTCCTGCAACTCTGGTCTCTTGTGGACTAGGGCCGATGTCCTTTTTCTGTCGCGTTGGTTCGGATTTTGGTGTGTGCGTGTCTAAGAATTTTGTGACTGCGTTCTAGTTTGCTGGAGCCGCATTTGCTTGTATGGGTTCGTTGGACATGACCCGTTCGAGGCAGAAGGGGAGGAGGTTGCTTGTCTACGTTGCTGCAGATGTGACCTCGCGAGCTGCCGATCATTGTCCGCAAGTCTGCGTGGCATCGGTATTGTGTGTATTAATGAACCGCTTGTGTGCATAAACCATTAACTGAAGAACACATTCTTGCGAAACAGATGTGCTGCCCTAGCTTCAGTCGTCGTGCCTCGACAACGTGAAAACCGGCGCAAAACCTGCCTCGAAATCGCTGTCGGTGACCTCCTTGGAAGCTAACGCTATTTTTAGTTGACAAGACTCCCTGTACAAATATCCTCATGCTAGCTCAACAAAGTACTTAAATCAGCCATTACTCCGTCAAATAATTTTCATAGCAGCATCGAAAATTAACTAGTCTGAGAAGGGCAACCAGAATATCCTTGTTCCGCTCTAGGCTTGGAAAGATCAGTTTGCAGCCTGCTGCCGCTTATCTCCCCGGGATGGAAGCCGAGCGTGCAACTCGCTACGTCGCTGCGATGGCCCACATCCACACTCAAGCTGAAGCGTCGAGCATTCGCTCCGCCAGCACTGATCATGTCGAAGTGCAACTTCCGCCAATGATGGGCGAGGGCGATCTGGAACTCACGTTCCCGGCTGACGACGTCAGCGGCGTCGGTGGCGGTGGAGCCATCCGGTTGCGTGCCCACAGCTCCATCCTAAAGCTCACCTCCGCCGTTCTGGGCGCAATGCTGAGAGACCTGCAAGGCAATAACGGCAATGACAGCTACGACGGTGACGTCGATGCCGGTACCCATCCGGCGCTGTTGCGACTTCAGCTGGACGACGCCCCCCAGGGTTGGCGCGCCATTCTGCCCATGCTGTATCCGAGAATGAGCGCGCCGCCCCTGACCTGGGTGGGTACCCGAGTGGGGTTCACGAGGGGCTGCAGGGTTTGGGTACATCAGTAACGGACAGGCTAAGACTGCTTACTCCTGTGAAAAGCTGGCAGCAGGTACACAAGGCATATACATACACCGTGTTACCCGCATCATCCCCTTCTTCCTACATTAGGTGGTTTCCCTTCGGGGCACCTTGACTTCCCCAGCTCTGTCATTACCACCAACAGCACCGCAGCTCACCACCACACAACCAAAACATATTCATATAGCAAAGGTGGCGGTGGAGTTGAAGGTGGGTGGCATGAAGCACCCGATCGATGGTTGGGGCAGCCCGAATAGTCCACACCTAAGATGTACAACAACCCAGTGGCGGCCATCCCCGGATCTGTCCCTCTGGCATCCCAGTGCCGGCATTTGTCCGGCATGCTGACCCCCGTCCTAAAATCCTCCGCTGTAAATGTCCTCCAAGCTATCCACCCTCGGCTCAGAGCCTGATTTACCCATCTGTGTGCGAATGTGTGTGTTACATTTACAAGCACGAGCTGATTAAACCACCGGTGTCCACAAACCAGGCTGATGTACGGCTGGTCATCGGCATCGCACACAAGTACGACATACCGCTGGTGCTCCAGGTGGGTCTTACTTTCTCACCGCGAGATTGGTTTGTTCGTTTTACGGCGCGTACGGCAACGCACGCGTTTTGTGTGTTTGCTATGTCGAAGGCGAAGGTGCGCGCTTACCTGCCAGCTAGGGCAGGCAAAGCCTTGCCAGCCCCTCAACCATTGCCCTGCAGTCTGGACCCTCCTGTGCCGCAGGCCAACCTGGTTTTGGCCTGTCTTCATCCCCTTGTTAACAGCTCTGATCCTCCCAAAAACAGATCCTCCCAATCATCCGCATCTCTGCCTAGCCAAGTTGTCCTTGCAGCTGTTGCAACCACACCCGCAGCAGTAAGCGAGGATTACATACATACATGCATACGTACGCACACACGGGGTCCAGCCAGGGCCCGCAAATCAGCATAACTAAGTGAGCAGGCTTGCTACAGCCCCTTTGCTGCTTACGGAGGCGTACCCCCAGCCTATGATTCCCTGCGCTTTGCCGCCTCCGTGTTGCCGCCTCCATGCTCAGGCCTGTGAGCAGTTCCTTTTAGGAGAGCGTGACGCGCCGTTGAGCTATAAGCGCTCCGATCCTAACTACGTTTTGTACTGGCTTGAGGTACGGCTGTACGCCAATTTTTACGTACAGGCGCTTCATGCTCTCTTGCTGTTTCCTTGCATGCGTAGCTTATTAGTGTCTCCTGGAATGAAAACTGTTTTGCTGTTAAGTTGTTGTGCCAAATGCATTTTCTCCTGTATTTGTGTGGAGTTGCTTCAGGCTGTAGATGCTGCTTTGCTCTTCATCACCACACTGATTTGCCCACCCCAAATCCTTCCGCTTCTCAGCATCACTGTTATCTGACTTTTCGCTGAGCTGCTGCTGCTTGGACCCACAACCGGTGCAGATCAGCGAGCGGCTCCATCTGGATGCCTTCCGGCAAAGGTGGGTCAGATAATGGCCGTACCCTTCAGGGGCGCACATTGCACAGCCTTCTCAGCCTCCCGGCCGTACAGGTCGGCCTGCAGCGCTTGCGAGCGATGACAGCCACTCTTCGTGCCACATCCATTATTTAACCACAACCAAGGAATGATTGATGCCGATGGCTGTCAGCTGCGGTATCGCTGGTAGTTTACAACATGTTAAGAGCCGGCCAAAGACCGGCTGTATGAAGCTCAGCGATGAGCTGAATTGTTAACATCCTTGCACCTCCCCCCCCCCCATGCTCCACTTCTTTGCCGGCTCCTCACACAAACTCGCTGGTCCCGTCTCTCCCCTCTCCTACCTACCCTAGACCTCTGGCCACACTGCTTGTTGGTCCCTGTCACCGTCCTGCCTCCTTACTTTTCAGAGGGCCTAAGCTGATCCACCAGGGACGCATCTCCCCCCTGCACTCCGCCTCACCCGACCTCCCCGCGGGGTATCCCCCTGCGAGTCCAGGTGCTTACGTTACATCCGTACCGGCATCGCCGCCGTCGGCGGCACCACCAGCGGCTGCGACTATTGTGTCGCCAGCGGTGGCGGCAGCGGTGGTGGTAGTGGTGCGTCTTCTTCTTCTTCTTCTTCCCGTTATCGCGCGCTGACGAGCCGCTATGCAATCTGCGTGTGCGCCTGTCGTACCTGTGGCGGCCATCGGAGGCTCTGCGGCTGCGATCGGGGGATGGCGGCTGCGGCCCTGGGCGCAATCGGTGTTGCTGCGATGGAGGCGTCAGGGCGGCAGCAGCTCCGGCTCCATGGGCTACGGTCTCAGGGCCTTATTGAAGCTGAGGGCGTCATCATTCGCTCTGCTCTCGAAGCTGAACTGGAGGCGTTGGGGCGTCGGGCGGGTTTTGGTGAACGGGACCAGACAGTGGCGGCGGCGGCAACTGGCGGCGGGTTTCCACCTGCGCAGGTGCCTGTACGGCGCCGTACCAACGGCATTGGTGAGGCCGCTGAGCTTTCCCTGCAGGCTTTATCTAGAGGCCTGCGGCCGAGCAGCTTCGGTGGTTACAGCCCCGCGAGCGCTGGCGGCGGCAGCGGCAGTAGCAGGAGCGTTGTGCCGGTGCGGAGTGTGGTGCTGAGGGATCGGGAGGGTCTCAGCCGCCTTTCCGTTAGGTCGTTGGTGGATTTGTTAGAGGTGTGAGATGGAACTACAGCTCCCGTACAGCCACGGGCGCGAGGCAAGCTCGAGACTCGTCTGTCGGTGCGAGAGTGCGCAGGGCGATAAGGACGCCGCGATATACGACTGATAGGTGCAGTGCATACAATGCGAGTGGGGAAGCGAGATGTATTGCCATCTGGTGCAATTTGGCGGAGGAGGATAACTGGTTCGCGGATGTATAGATGGTTGCGAACATTAAAACGCACGTTTGCATGCTACAGCACCGCAGTCGCGGTTTTATTTTAAGTGGAAGGTGGAGATTGACTGATGGTACTAACTAGAGTCTTTTAAGTGACGGAATGAATGCAAACGTAATAAACAGAATGATAATTACTTAATAGTCCACGCCATGGATGGTCGTAGCCTGCCTAACCTGAGGCTGATCATATCATTTATTATAATACTAGGCTTTTGGCACAAGCTGTTTATAACAATATTACTGGTCCATTTTTTGGCAACATTTTTTAGAGCCAAATGCGGCTAAAACAAGCGCAAGCTCGTCAGTTTAAGTGGACCTTGTATTTCGCAAAATAATTCTGTGGATGTTTATGTAAATGGCAGTTATTGCAGAAGGCCTTTTGGTAGGCTTAAGGAAAATAAAAGGATTGCAATGCGTTCTGACAAGCTTGATTCTACGAGAACCTCCGAGATTTCCTTATAGCCAGTTCACATGCTACGTTACGTTAAGACTTTTTGGGAAAAGTGGTCGGCTCGGACATGGTAACGGTACGTTATCGGTAAAGTGGACGAAAAGTCTAAAGTGACCGAGGGGGGGGGTGAATTTCGTCAAACGCTGACCCCTCGTACCGTTACCTGAATTGCATCGTCAATTTCGCGAGTTATAACAAACGGCCAAGCCCAATCGCTTCTTTTTGTGGATAACATTCACAGTGATGACATGTTTGCTTGACGTGTGAAACGCTTTGCCCGTCAGAAGCAAGACAGATGGGAGGGTACGGGAACAAAGCAACACCTACGAATATGTTATACGCTTATACCAAGAGTCAATATATCAGCATAGGTCAGAACTAGTTGCATGGGGGATGTGTGCTGGGTGGAGGTGCGGTCGCGGCCGCGCCAGCCATGGCGACCGGAGGTGGAGGTTGCAGCGGAGGTTGCAGCGGCACGGGTAGTGGCACCGAAACCAAGTCCACCAGTAGCGCACTTCGATCGTATACATACACGTTTTGTTGGGAGCGCGTGGAGAGCGGTGCTTTCAAGGTGCGGCTGCTGCGGTGCCGTGTGTGTGCGTGTGTTAAGCTGTTGGCCCTTGTACACAGTACGGCGCTATAAATACGCGCGTAGCGCGACCACCAGCATCTCGAGAGGCCTTTTCAGCGGTTGCCAGCTACTACAGCCCTCCTGACAGCCGCCATTCTTTCCTAGTTTTCCTAGGGGTGGAGGTCCTTGTGTTGCAGCCTCCTCAACGCCGAACTGGTTAGGTCAGCTTGCCTGCAGGGACAGCTGCTTCATTGCATGTATCGATTCCACGGTGTCGCCATTTCTGTGTGACAGTGGTGGCCGTAAGGGCCGGGAGGCTATCCGCCTCCTCCTCCTCCTCCTCCTCCTCCAGTCAATCAAACACCCATGTCCAATGATGAAATTCCTGCTCAAGGTCCACCACAATTTCCTCTCCGTTTTTCTTCCCATTCTTCGTACATGGCGTACCTGCCCCGCATATAGATACATGCATACATGCATACAGGACTGCTGGCTCATAGCATGCGTCCGTGTTGGGATCCACGCACTTTGAGAGGGGATGCTGTGAGAGGATCCTGCCGCCACACCGCATCACATCATGCAACGACACACCCGCCGCACCACTACATTTCCAGCTCCAGCTGCCAAAGGGAATAGGAAAACTCAGGATTGGATCCCATGGAGGATTCATGGATCCATGTCATTACGACACACACAGTTTATTATGTGCCGTATGTTTATGCAAGGGGGAGCCCTGTCGTTTGGGCCATCCACCGGCGGGGCAAGCGAGCATACAGACAAGTGGAAGCTTTGCGACCTAACTAAGCCATATAGTAATGTGTCAAACTTTTGCAGCATATTTTAGTCACCTGTGTGTCCTTCCCTTCAGCTGTGTGGTCGATGTGGTGTTAGCGCGTCTTAATCGGTGAGATCCGACAGGACGGATTCGCTCCGTCAAAGACTGGACTCTGATCTCAATAAAGAGAATATAAGCAGACGCTTTAAAGCTGTTACATGTTTGTTGACTGATATCCAACTTATGCTCCCTCCCGAGTATAAATACCCGTTGCTTAGGAGGCAGCAACAAATTCTAGTGTACGGTGTCCCTTTCAGACCACCTGTCGGTCGTCCCGACCGAGGTGTCAATCCAGGGTGGTTGTCCGAAGACAATCGAACGGTTGTTCCAACCGAGGTGTCAATCCAGGGTGGTTGTCCGAAGACAATCGAACGGTTGTTCCAACCGAGGTGTCAATCCAAGACATTCGTAGACTGTTCCTAGACCAGTCTTTATCAAGCCATGTCTTAATCGCCTTGCGATTTGTTCTGTACGCGCTACAATAGGCGGGCATGGAATCAGTCATGATAACTGGAATTCAGGAAACTCGGCCGAACTTATTAGCAGTTGGACCTCCTCTGTCCTGTGTCGTCCTGTCCTGTCCGGTCTGGTACTCTCTCTACCTGCACTGTACCGCAGTGCGGTCCGGAGAGGCCATGTTGCGCGGTGGCAGCTGTTTATTTGTTTTACCACCTGGCTGGCAGACCCCTTGCGGGCTGGTTTGCCTTTTGTAGCCCATATTCAATTTGGGTTGCTAAAAGCAGGTCTTTTATCCCATGTCTTCCGGATGTGTGAAACAGGGGGGTATATCTTCACCCGTGGCAACTACCCTGCAAAACTCTGCCTTCCCCGGTATATCGGGGCACCCTCATCCTGTCATCCTTGTCAACTTCTCAGTGGATCGCGAAGATTCCGCACCCATCACCAGCATCCAACGGAATCTGCCGGGTCGCCAACAGCCCAATTCCATTCCTAGACGGCTCGCAGGTTTTAACTTTATCCCAGGTCACCACCATCCATCAACAAGTGGCGGAAGGATTTTCGACCCTGACAGATCTCGATCCCGGGATATTCCGGGAGCAATGGCCTCGCGCTACCAGTAGTGCCAAACCCTGAATGGTTACAATAGATCATTCCTGTCCTTACAGCACATACGATATGGCGTGCCGTACACATCTGTAAACAAAGCCAAATCCAGAGAACGAAGAGGGCAGTTTGCACCCTCTGCATTTCATTCTCCTTTTAGAAATGATCACCGAAACAAGGGTTGGGTCGAAAAGGTGCCCGGGATATGTACTGAGTGAGGTCTGATCTGATTGCACTGGCTATTTGGGTGAGTGGCTCACATGCATCATGTGGATATTTCCATTACAGATGTGTACAAGCAAGGCTCATAAGCTTTGGAATTAGAGAGAGTCCAGGCTTATATCAGTCAGATGTCCGGTCA